CAGAAACTCCGCAAAGTAGGGTACATATTCTTGCTTAGCATCAAATTCGGAATCGATTTAAGCGTGTCCGTCTGTCCGTCTATCCATCTGTTCTAAACATTCTTCTGGCCGCACAAATGAAGCTATCATCCTCAACTTTAGCAGATATATTGGAAGTTCTTGCACGTAGGTTGGTATCGAAAATGGGTCAAATCGGTTGGAGGTTGATCACAGCTCACCACGTCAAGTGAGAAAACCACTGTTTTTCAAAAGGAATGAAAAACTGGTTTTTAGCTTATTAATCATAAATTAAAGCAAGGGCGATACTGCAGCATTTGTGTACAAAAGTGAAAAAAATTGACCACGCGTACCCAATATTAGAGTATATCAGAATTGATATATTGATAATGTGCAGAAACAAACTTCTAAAACCCTATAAAGTATTTAAATTCTTGGCCAGTTTCAAATTTGAAATGCATCTAAAGATGTCCGCCTATTCGTCTGTCCATTTGTCTATTTGCCCAACTTTGTAATATTTAAGGTAAGCATTCTCCCGTTAGGGAAAATGAAGAAGAAATCAAGTGCGCCCGCTTCACCTTACGGACCATGAGCATTTCGTTCTTTGCGCCACGAAAAAGTTTAAAAAGTAATTTGCGAGATATTGGGCAAAAAATTTTGGCCGTGAAAACAATGAATTTCGCATACATCTCTCGGTCTCTCCTAAAAAGAACCAAGGATATAATTTGCAGCTAAGGTTGACAAGCCTTACTGCGCTGCTCGTATTTTCCAGGTCTGGGCTCTTCCGATTATTACGTATTCAGATCGATGTGATCAGTCATCTGCGACAGATCAGCGGATTATAGAAGTTGAAGATGTGCAAAAATGACTCTATGGTTGTTTCGCCTCCGGCGTTGTGTACCGCGGCGCCATCGATAAGCTGTCAGATAAATGGACAAAGACTATAGATAGTGATAGTCCATATTTCGACTATTATGCTTCATAACAAGTATATTTGAAAGTGGAATTTTATCAAAAAAAAAAAAAAAAACTGAAACGAATTCGTTTGCGCATCTATTATATCAGAATTTTTTACTTCACAATTGCTGTTTCTGTCAAAATTATTTTTCACATTTGCTTTTCGATGATTTATTAATCAATTTAATTTTATTGAAATTTATTGTTGATAAGCGGAAAAATACAATTTGAACTTGAGCGGATATTATTATACCATACGTAGCGATTGAGATGGGGGTCGAAGTAAAACCAAGGCGCAGTGACTTCAGCGTTGGATAGCTATTTGTGAGAACATCTCTTTTTTTCATGTGTTTCAAATATTGTATCGTGACATCTACTTGGGGAGAGCTCATCGAAATTAATCGGCCTCAGCACAAGCATAACGGAAACGCTTATAATTGAAGGCCACTGCAATCACACCGCCAGTGTGACCTGTACGGGTGTACATAGACCTACCATTTAATAAATCTAATACTTTTACAGTTTCATCTTCACTTCCAGTAAGCATAAAATTGCCGCTAGGATGAAAAGCCAAATCATTAACGGGTTCGCTACGCGCTTGATAGCCCTGAACGAGTTCTTGATCAACCAGATCGAATACTTTTACCCGGCAGAAATTTAAAGCCACTACCATACGATGCCGACCTAACTGTCGCCGCATATCTTTCTCTTCTGTCACACGTCAAACGCATTCGCCTGCTTTCATATCAAATATACGCAAGGACTTCTCATCGCTGCAATATGCGATCAACTGACTATTAGGACTAAATTTAGCCGAGCGTATCAAACCTCTGTGAGTTTTTTTGGGTCAATTTGCCATAGTTTCACTGATTTATCGTCCGAGGCCGCTACTAACATGTCAGTATCGATAAGATGAAAGTCAACCGAACGTAAGGGTTTGTCATGGAATAAAAATTCCTGACAAATACAATGTGCTCTAGGTTCCTAAATTTTAACAGAACCGTCTTGAGAACAAGAGGCAATGGAGTTTGATTTCGGAGACCAGCTAATACCATTCACACTTTTCGCATGTTCCGAAAAACACAGGCAACGGATGGGTTCGCCTTTTAAATTCCATAGAACATAGAGAAGCGTGCTTGCGTTACCGGTTTTGTGTGTCCCACAAAGTAACCTTCCAAATAAGGATCTGCATTTCGCTCGGAATTCATATTTTTTGACTTTTTTCTTATTTTTTCCTTTTGTCAATTAATTGAATATTGTTTTCAATATTATATCTGCTTGATTGTGACGATATTAAATCTGTTAGTATGTAATCATAATTACAGACTGAATAAATGAATATGCATACAATTTAAATTATGTGAAAACATATCATTAATAATTAAGGTAAATACGAATCTTTGATTTTTGACCTTCTGAAAATATAGCTTCTTCTCATAATACATAACATAACCATATAAAGGAAAAGTATCCAGTGTTTAAATTTCTCCATGACGATACCCTTGTACAGTGTGCTTGAAAGACAATAGACATAGTCAAGTATTAGTAATTGTGGATATTGGAAGCTCGAGTTTCATATCTGACCCAGTAGTTCATCCCTTTATATAGTAACGTTGTTACCAGTAACGTTTTTCATCAACTTTCGGAAGAAATATCTTAAAGTTTCTTTTCTTTTCTCTCGCTCTCATGGATAGGAAAAGGGACAATAGTCGATCACAGTAAAATTCTATGAGCACAAGACAACATTTAAACAACGAAAATAGCGGAAAGTCTATAAGTCATCCTCGTCTGGTACTTCTATAACAAAACAATTCAGGTACACTGAAAAAACTGCTCATTCTAAAGGGAAACTGAAAAACAGCTCATACCAGGATCAGTGGATCCTGCATTGTAATTCCTTGCGAAGATTTAACAAATTTAACATAGGCCAAGAGAGGAATAGATTTCAGTCGGCATTTTTCTCTTTGTGGCCAACGTCTGCATTTTCAAATTCGTTCTTACAATTGGAGTATACAAATACACTTCGGCAAATAGTAAAGTTTCCCCGAAACTTTTCATTTTCGAAGTGTCAAAATTTTAGATTGAATTGCACGGAACTTTTAGTAACTTTGACTTTGGCTCCAAACATTCGAATGAGAAACTGCGATTAGTCTAGTAAAGTGAAAAGTATCCACAAAAATTTCCTTACTATACCTGCACAAATGATTATAGATGATTAAGTCGGCACTGTTTTCGAAGATTCGGGTCAAATAGAAAACATTCCAAGTGTGTTTTTTCTAAATATGACCATTCTCTTAGGGGATGACGTCGATACGTATGTAATACCCTTATTAAGTGGGGCAAAAGAAAGAGATAGAAAGCGACCATAGCGTAGTGAATATGTGCCCAATTCTAGGGCAATTTTAAATTCGGAATTCGCTTAAACATGTCTGTCTATTTGTCTGTCCGTCTGTCCGTCTGCGCAACTCTGTAGTATCTGTGGTAAACACACTTCCGTTCGCAAAAATGAAGATATCGCGCACAAGTTTGCAAATAGATTTGAAAATGTTTCAAACCGTACAAAAGATAAGCCTATGCACGTCCGCACTCCTAAACAACGAAAACTGTAAACACTTTTGCTTTGTACGTTTCTTACTTGTTATTTATAAAATACAACGCATCTATCCCATATATACTTTGACTTTTATTTTGAAAATGAAAAAAATCAGCCGCACCCACCCAATATCATAGAGTACGAGAATTAAACTTTTTTTTTAATTTCTGTTAGCACAACGGTGCTGGGTATCAGAGATTCGGTCACAACCGAACATAATTTTCTTACTTGTTTGCAATTAGGTTTTTTTATGAAAAGAGGGATACACTTCTTTCTGTGGGCAGTATTTACCGATTCCCTTTCTTTCCCGCATAAAGTATAGCAAATAAATATAAAAAAATTTGAACACATATTCTATGGACGATACTCTAGCATTTATGGAAAAACTTGACCACGCCTACCCAATATTATAGTGTGTCAAAATTTAATTACTTTTTCCAAACCTTTATAACCCGCAGCAATAAGCTGCTAAAACCCTATAAAGTATATAAATTCTTGGCCAGTTCCAAATTTGAACTGCGCCTAAAGATGTTCGCCTATTCCTCTGTTCATCTGTTTATTTGCACAACTTTCTAGTACATTTGGTAAACATTCTCCCGTTACCGAAAATGAAGATATCGAAAATACAAATTTGGGAAAGAGTTTTCAATTGACCTAAACTTTTCAAAGAACTCGCCTACAACACCCGCGTGCCTATACGACAAAAACTTTTAATTTGAAAATAGAAAAAATCAGTTGCCACCACTTCATCCTATATAGAGCATGAAAATTATACTCTTTTTTTCTTCTTATGTAGTTTTTTGGATAACGGTGATGGGTATAAAAGATTCGGTCCCGACCAAATTTAATTTTCTTACTTGTTTTCAAATAAAGCATCGCATTTTAGGATCAAAAGCTTTTTGTTTGATTTTGTATTTAATTTTATTTGTAAAATACATAGAATTTCTATGGAACAAAAGTTTTGCATTAATTTTTATGATTTTTGCTGAGATAGCTCAAAAGAATTATAAGACGTTTTATGGCATTAGTCATCAATGAAGTACACAAGCAAACAATACATTTCTACATACCGATGTACATTGTGATGTTAACGCACACATTATGAATTTTTACAATATTTCATAATCTAAGTGATCTCTTTTTTTTTGAAGACAATTAATTAATTTGATTGAAAAAAGAAAATTTTGATTCAATTTTTTTAATAAAAAAAAAAATATTACATATATATGAATAACTATCAATTTTTTATGCATTTTAATACACAAAAAAGGATTGCAACATTAATGAAAATTTAACAACTTTTGCAGCTAACACAAGCCGAAATGCAGAAGGCTTCTCCAAATTACGTTAACACATTTTTCCTTTTTATTACGTGTAACATTATTAATGTTTCACTATTAATATTATTCATATTATTAATATTATAATTATTAATATTAAATATTAGTCTTGTTATTTTTATTAGTATCATTAATATTGTTCTTATTATTATTACTATTAATATTTTTATTATTAATACCCAAAGTTTCTTCATAAATACTAAATATAAGAACTGAAAAACTTTATATGCATGTGAATGTTCGCATCTCTATATAAAAATATATATTAAAAAATATAACTTTATCCATTCATGCGTAATCATTCTACAATTTTTATTTTTGTTTATAATTCTTATTTTTTCTCTCCTTTTCAGTTTTCTTTGTTATTTGCATTTAGCACTTCCGGTAAAAGCCAATCTTTTCTTCGTACTGGCTATATCGTTACGGTACCGCTAAGAGTTAATCTTTAGATGAATATTGTTTTCTTTTCTTTTTTTTTTTTTTTTTTTTTTTTTTTTTTTTTTTTTTTCTTCTGAATTATTACATATGTCCGGTTATTTAATGCATTGTGATTGACAGTTTATTAGTTATTGCTATTGTTAGTACTTAATTTTGTTCACTTGTAGTAAGAATTTCTTGTATTGCTGCCACAATCAATTTATTTATGTTGATGAAGCCAATCGTTTATTACTCCCAATCTTTTTTTATTTCGAAGGTCCAATCCCACTTTAAATGAATATGCTTATCATCGTCAGTAAATAGCGATGATACCGAATAGGTTCCGCGTGCCATTAATCCGGATGGTGCCTCTTCACTCGGTGTTATATAGCATTGAATTTCCTTTTTGGGAGGATAAGAACCCACCATATGTGTCATTTTATCCACTGCGCATTACCATACATACATACAATAAATATTTAAAAAAAAAAAAAAAAAAACTTGAATATAATTTTAATGAAACTTGAGAAATAATATAATAAAGTACATATATATAATGGAAACAAATTTATTGAAAAATTAAAAATCAGTATTTTCCAAAAACATTATATATTAGGCCATTCCGCACATCTTATATATAAATAAAAAATTTCATTACTTTTGTTAATCAAACGTTCAATAATGAGAGCGAATACGTTTTTCGCTATCAACTTACTCACACGTCTATATATAAATTTTTATATAAATAAAGAAAATTTAAAGAAAATGGATAAGTTCACTGACAAAATACATTGAGTTCACTGAGGGTAATATTAAAGGATGAACTCTTTATTCTTAATTTAAATTCGTTTTATTATAATGCATTAAATTGATTTGAATCCATTTTTGGTAGCAAATTTTACTCATTTATAATTTAAGTGAGTAAGTAAATGTGGAATGCAATTAAAGTAGTGTAGTGAGTTTCACAGTTGCACTTCAAATGTGATTATTTGAAGTGAATAACGGCCGAATGGACAGAAATAGGCTAATCGATTTACGATAAACAGTCTATATATATATATATATTAATATGATATACTATATAATATAATACATAATATAATTTATAATATATATTATTATACTATATGAATAAGATGGCAACTTTTATAATATAAAATTTTCCAAAGATTTTCAGTCAAAGTAGACCAAACTTCCTTAAAAACGAGTTGCAGATAATTATCTTGGAAACATCGGGGGTGTGCATTAATTGAAAACTATTTTCAAAAGGAGCGCAAGTAGTATTGCATCCGGCCAAGACTCATTATGGCGTCAAGTCCATGCATTTAAAAGGATGATAAGGACGCAGTGTATTATAAGCGTTTGAGCAGAACAGTATAATAAGACAAACAGTAACCAGATTTTTTCAGCATGAGAACCACCAGCCTTAGCTGATACTCATGCGAATAATAAACGTTAACAGTGTTTTGAATAGTTTCGAAAATAAAAAAGAAATTATGCTTCCGAAATGGAATCGATATGCTCCCAAAATAGTGCTCCCATGAGTGGAATCATGATTGATTATTTTGTTATCACTTTTTCACATTCATAAAATGCAGAAAGTCGGTTCAAATTAATGCCCACTCCCAATGTCAATTTTAGTTATTTGCTTGTTTTGAATACTGCTTTTGTTAAAATATTTGCAAAAGATATCAATTTAATGTTAATTAAATTATTATTATTATTATTGTATTTAAAATGTTAATAAAAACACTTTCTTACCAATGAGGTCTTAAGTTGTTAGATTTGATGCAAAGTTAACATAAATACATAAACAAATACGAAAACATCAATTAAAGAAATAATTTTACAAATGTACAAATTTAAAAAAAAGAATTTATAGTACAAAGAGCATGAATGAAACCGAACACCGAGGCGAAAACGATGATTAACAATCTATTAACAAAGGGATGACTAAAGCTATTAATAAAATATAAGCTATAGCAAAGACGCTATAAAAAAAATAATCATAATCGAATGATTTGAAATCCGTTATAGATGTAAACGTATGTTGTCTTTTAATACAGAAGGCGATGACTGTACATAGGAAATGGTTGATTTAAAATGATTGAGAAATCGATGAAAAGTGAAAGAAGACGATGAAGAAAGCGAAAAAACGTAACAAACGATAAATTAAATAACAAAAAAAGGAAAAATGAGATTAATGATGAGGGAAAATGTGTGAAAAAATTGAAATCATGTATAAGAAATAAGACCGACGTTCCGTCCAAGCACAAAACAAAACGCCGAAAAGACATGTAAATGCGGAAGGCAGGAATTTATTTGTCAAGTTCATCACTTACCAGGGACGCCTAATCGATAAGTCTTTTGTACATATTTAAGGCCGTGCACAATTTCTCTTTGAACAATAAAATCAATACGCACTTTATATTGTACGCCTTCCTTAATAACGAATACCTATAAAAAGAAATATAACAATATATTTCGGAAAATTTGGGATGAAATTTTTTAATTTGATTTTCGTCTCCAGACTTATTAACTACCTGTTTTTTAAGTTGACTTAAGTCACCAGTTAAATCTAATTCCATATCTTTGCGTCCATCGACAACTAAGGCCAATTTTTTAACAAGTACTTTACGCTGATCATTCATATCTGAAATTGAATATATTAGTCGGAATAATTGCGCCAACTAATTTCAATTGTGTAAACTTGCCAACAACAATCTTTTCAGCTTGCGCAGCACCCAATAAAATTTCTTTATAACGTCGCAAACTCTCATCTTCCTGATCGGCGGCCATTATTTCTTCAATTGTCTTTTCTGGAGGTGGCTGATAGTTAGCATCTTGTAGTTCCTCATCATGCAATTCCACTTCGTTTGTTATTTCGATAGACATATTTAAGAGGAGTCAAGAGGTAAATGCGGCACTGTATATGTGATGCGGGTTTAATATCAGTATTTTATTAAATCTTCTTATATATTTTAGACGTTTCAATTCACGCCGAAAACTGGAAAAACGAAATCAATGTCGGCATATTTTAATTCCAAGCTGATACATTTAAAAGAAATAAGCGGAAAATAACAATGTTACTGGGAAACTAAATGGTAGAATGTATAAATTAAGAATTTCTACACATCTGTGCAATTATACATTGCACATATATACATATTGCTCCAACTTAGACGTGAAATTATTAATTTACAATTTAAAAGAACTCATACTTCTTAGTGAAATACAAAATTTCCACCAATCAATTTAAGCCATACCCTATCAAGCCGCTGAAGCCCCCTTCTCTTTGCATCTGGCGGACTTTCAACTCACGATTTCGATCCATCAATAATTCCTTTTACCCTCTAAAACCTCCTATTATTCAGGTGAGAAAATTAAACCGATAAAATATATAAATATTCTCTTTCCTGAATCTATATTATGTGGTCTTCTAAGGGAGTTTATTGATTCTTACTTGCTAATCGATTCGCTATTGAAATTCTTAACACTTGCCCTCCATATTTCCATCGAGCAATTCTAGAAGGAACGCAGAAACCAACCCAAGAGAAAAAAATATTTTCAAATTTAACTCTCTCCGTTGCATAACTCTCTCCAAAATTGCATAAATTTGTGTTGGTCGTCTGAATAAAAACCCATCCAAATTTTATTAAATTAAAACCCATTCGCTTGTTCAGAAAATGAAGGAATTATTTATTGAAAGTGAACCTCATCTGCAGCTACAATTTTCAACAATTTTTATACTGAAAACTCACGATATCATGACTTTTAACTTTTTCATCGTTTTCGTTGTTTCATTTGGTGGGAGCAAATCGTAATACACCATGGCTAGCTAACTCCCTTCCTCTTCTCCCTCAAACAGGATTACCGCATATATTCAATTTTTTCTTAATTTAAATGATCCGCTAGTTTGCATCATGGTTACTTGGTCTTTGAATAGCGTAATGCATCTACTGTTTATTACGGGCAAAGAAATCTTCAAAAATTATGTTGTGCACACTTTAATGCAACAACTTATATAATTGTGTGAAAAAGTTACTACAAATAAACAAGTTACAGTTTATTCTACACCCTGTATCACTGCTCACGTTCTGTTTTAGAAAGAAAGCGGTCATACTCACACAGGCGATATAAATAAAGCTCATTCTAATCGGGCTATTAACCCTCTAGTGTTATAGATTGAAAATCGTTTCAAAGCTGTTATAGCTTCCTTGTTTGCATAGGTTCTTCCCTTTCGATCGCAAAACTCCTGTTAACTTTTGTTAAGCGTCGGCCATACGGACTATCGTACAGTTGAGTAATTGATATGGCTTGACCGAATTCAATTTTCACTTCAATAGCCCATACTTCATTTACGGTATGTATATAGATGGTCCTAACTATAGTGAATGCTCGGTCGGTGAAGGCATCACTTCTCTTTCCCTTCATTTCTTCCTGATCCTCACCGTGCCACACATATAGACGACATACCCCGAATACTTAGCCATATATAAAAACAATAAAAGAAAAAAAATCTATAACCACTACCTCTCGAGAAGATAATTTCTTTCATTCCCTATTTATTTATTTTTTTTTTTTTTTTGGCGCGAAAAAAAACTTAGACGATATCCATAGCGGAATACACCGGTTATCACCCCTAGCACTGCCAATTGGTAATCAATTTTCGATCTTCTAATGCGTTTAGCTCAAAATTCATCACAAGTATTCAATTTTCATAAGCTAACAAGTCTGGGCGAAATATAAAATAGCACTTTGTACAAGTTTATCGATTTGCAATAAATTGACTTATAAGAGTACCCAACAACTGCAATTACTACACATTGTAAATTTTATCTTATCGTTTGGTAAATTAAAAACAAATGCCAAAAAAAAAAACCTGTTTAGTTTTTATAGTAGAATACAACTGCTAAATATGGTCAAAGCAATTTACATTAGGAACAAACTCATTAAAATTTAAGATTTAAAAAAAAAACAGTAATATTTTACACATTAGAATACTAATTATTAATAAATGAGATTTCACGTCATCGTTTGCCGTGCCGTGCTTTAAAAATCTGAAGCTCTATTTTTGTTTTGGTTTGCGGCGAGAATTCGACCTGCGATATAGGCTGTGTGACATGTGATGGAAGCTGAAGGAGATGCAGTGACACACAATAAAGGACTCAAGACCATCTATTATTGAAATTAAGAGATCTTGCTCGCAATCTGTTAGAAAGCATTCATATTGTGTGATTTATCATGAACTATAGAAGTATATGCGCCCTCATAACTTTTAAAACGCGCTCTTCGTAATAGACAATTTAAATATTATACCTACAAGCGATATTTTATTAAGTTCACCGTTGAACCACTGCACTCTATATTACAGATTGAGAATCGAACAATTTTGCTGGCCAATGCTTTGCCTTCACTTGAGGGACATTTCAGATTCATTCTAATATAAATCCTGCTTTCTATTATATGTATCAAGTATGTAAACAGGAGACGACATAATAGATGTAGCTCAATAGAATGGTGCTCTGCACATAGACGCACTGTTAAAGTTTCAATGGTTTAGCACATCTGACAACACATTTATGCTCTACCTACCCTTTTTATGGGACGCAATAAAAGCGTTCTCTATTTAGTATTAATATTTACGACTAGAAACAACAATTTGTACAAAGTCCCAAAGTAAATTTTAACAATCACTTCGGATAGAGATATATTTAAAGCCGATAAAAGCACGTGCACTAGCATATTAAGATTTCAATAATTTTTTATAAATTAAGCAAATTTCTGAGCAATTGTGAAAACTCTCAACCAAGAATTAAAATTGAATGTTCTTTTCTTTCATTACAAAAACGTATGGTGTGTCGCGAACGACTTGTTTTGAGACAACGCCCCCGGAAATATTAAACCATATTACAATTCTGACGTATTTGTGTTTGAAAAGATCACACCAAATACATTTGAGTAATAACGTCCTCTTTTATACTCCTTTCATAGACTAACCAGCAGAGCCGAGTTGGCCATGAGTTTTTGCCGGCAAAAGTTTAAAGCTACTAACACTAGTTATTTTAACAAGACGCCAAACGATAAAAAAGAAACTTCCCATCAAAGATATTTTAAAATAGCTTCAGTACTTTAAAAATGCATAAATCTTAACAATCGCAAACATACTTAGCCGATGAGAATCTCCTTTTCAGCGTCTTTTACACAGCACATCCGTTACGCTATTGCCGTCCTTGTTGCTACTGTTATCGTCACCGTATACCCTCCCGATAATTTGGATAACACATTGTAGTGATCTCCACCCATTTCCAATTAAAAACAAGACATAAAACCACAACACGACACAATAGAGCCTGGCTGACCGTCATATATCATTGTTAAGCTTTTTTTTTTTATCACATTTGGCAAGTTTTTTTTTCTTTTTATTACCACGCACTTACTCATACGTACACATCTTTCTTAATTTCTAAAAACCATATATTATCTACCTACTTTTTTAAGATTCAAGCCTTACCTTTCCCTTATTTTACTTTATTAAAATTGAAAAGTTTCCTAAACTTTTTATTTTTATTTTTATGCGTTATTATTATGACTTCTTCTGTTATTCGCAATTAAATTTAATGGCAATTAAGCCGAACGTCACGAAACCAAGTATAAATCGTTTCTACTCGGTTTTGGCTTTTTTTTTCTACGCTGAATTCACTTATTATTATTAGCTTATTCTTCTTCTTATTTACATTCACTATCCAGTAAAAACGGCGCTGGAATCTCATTTAACACCTTCACAGACAAGAAGGATATAGCATTCATTTTTATTGTAGTTCAAAATTACGCGCACGGTATACCAAATTCTAAGCCCAATTATATTCATCTATATTCATCTAGTTTTATGTATGTAAGTAAGAGCAATTAATTGAAAAGTTTAATCTATATTTTCATGGATAGTGAGATTCGTTGCATATATAACATTATACTCTGGCTATCCTCATAAAGTATGTCCAATCAGATTCTAGAAATCCCAACTAATTGTGAAAAAGCTGCCCATCTATTTTCGCACCTCATTGAAATTAATATATATACTCAAAAGCTAAGTGGTGCTTTACTTTTTTAGAGCACGCCTGCCATTTTGAATTTAAAAACACTCAGTAAGTACGCACTTAACTTAACAAAATGTCATCCTTTTTAGAGCTGCGTTATATTTTCATATATGGAGTACAATGGGTCTAATTATTATGAAGTATTGATCGATAGTTATGCAAATTAGACTGCCCACTTTTATCAGATTTTAAATTACAGGCGAATGATTGCTTCAATTAAGTTCAGAGTTCAGTGCAGTGTTCTGTTCAGCGCATGTTTTTCCTAACTGAAACATGCGCTGCTAGGCGAAGGATATTACGAAGGATATGTATATCAAGGCTTTTGAGATAAACAAATCAGTCAAAATATTTAAGTGCTTTTTAACTAACAAAGTGGTTAACAATTAAACAAATATATGTACATTCACTATATGGCAATGTTTAGGGATGCAGCTTTGTATATAAAATCAGCAAATAATTTTGCCTAGTTATTGTCTTCACAACCTCAAAATGTGTTTTAAATATTAAAAAGCGTAGAATAAAACTTTATACGCTCTCAAATTTCGGATTCCCACTTTACGCAGACAAGTGTGATTAGGTTAAATAGTGAACCAGAGAAGAAATATTCTTCTAGTCAATTTTTAGTCTCTTATAGTGTGCACAGCTCTTGGCAACTCTGAATGTAAACAACGTGCAAACAAAAAACAAAAAACGTGCGTTGTTCCATAAATATCAGCTGTTTCAGTTTTATTGACAAGTGGAATGGAGAAAGTGCCGGAAATTTTTTGCTAGACAATTTTTAAACAATTAAGAACGCTGGCATTTATTTATTTTTATTGATTTAACGGTTGGGCAGATACAATTTTTTCATTGTATTTGATATAAATAGGAGGGAGTGAAAGCGTTCGAAAAGCTCCAAAATCAAACAACATTATGGAAAATTTAAGGTAAATTAGAATTCAAAAAATGTGCTTCATATGATATCGGAAAGTACTTTATGTATTCATATGTACCTACCTATATAAGTGAAACGGGCATTTAGAGAAATGGACTGGTTCATGCATATAGTGTTTTACATGTGTGCCAATGCCTTCGAAATATCGGGTTGTCTTAATAAAAACTTTTATCTTTTTAATCTCTCGTTTAGAAAAAGAAAGTTTTTTGATTAAGTAATGCTTCTTAATGTAGCGAAGCGTAGCGTTATACTTATTATTTTCTTAATTATTTTATCTAAAACTACTATTATATCCCCTGAAGCATTGAAGGATTAGTAGTATGTTATTGGTATTATATATGTAGATATATATATATATATATATATATATATACGTAATAAATTGGAAACTAGAGGTATGGGCTATGTTTTATATACCGAGTCAAATATTCCAAGAATAAGATTGCTTACCTCTTTGTAGTATTAGAACATATTTATAGTTTTTATGATTTATCGGATATGCATATATTTGCGCAGCATTTTACGCGCGAAGGAGTAAGTTCAAATTACAAATATTACGCGCTTATACGCTGTTATCGTAAGAATCGAAATTCAACAGGTTCAACTTTCTCCGATAAAATACGAAGTTAATTGCTTTAGAATTAGGTGAAAGGAACGGCTGATATGCTACGTACCATAACGTTATTGGTTAACCAGGCATTATTTGAAAATAAACAACTTTGGCTCGCCAGAGCTTCTATACTATTTCTATTGCACACAATGTGTATATACGTTTGTGAGAAACGATGAACCAGATAATCAATAATAAAAATGCAAAAGATACAATCTTATTTTTTCGTAGTTTTGTTAAGTGTTTGACTTATCTTTAGGTGTACGGCCACATAATTAAGTTTCATATACTAAAAAATTCACTTATCTGATATCATTAATCAACTCTATCTGAATCTACTTTTTAAGATTCTTCTCTACTTTTCCCGCGATGTTAAGTAAAAGATTGTAAAGATGCCCTTTTAAGACCTTAGCACTACAAGTCGCGATAAGACGGTATCACTAATTGTTTATTCGAAACTATATAAATTCATGTAAACTTTAGTATAACTAAATGTGTATTCTACGTTTGCCTGTTGATGTTGAATAATGTTAAACTTTTCGGTAGAAATTATTTGAAATTAAAATGGAACACGTAAGGTAGCAAATGTGGGAATGGATTTTGTACCTTAAATAATAGATCGTTCGATACTTTTACATAATTTTAGGGAACATCTCTTGATTGGCTGTGGCAATCCTTTATTAGATATAGTGGCCAGTGTCGATAAGGATTTACTGGAAAGGTACAATTTAAAACCGAACGACGCAATCTTAGCCAGAGATGAGCACATGCATCTGTATAAAGACCTTGACGAGAAATATAATGCCGATTATATGGCAGGCGGTTCGGTACAAAACACATTGCGCGTGTGTCAGTGGATTTTGGGAACCCCGAAAGTAGCCACATTTTTTGGTTGTGTTGGTAAGGACGATTACGCGAAAATTTTGGAAAAAAAAGCCACCCAAGATGGATTAAATGTGCGTTACCAATATACAAACGAGGCGCCCACCGGTACTTGCGCTGTACTAATTACAGGTACTCACCGTTCTTTGTGTGCCCATTTGGCAGCTGCTAATCATTTTACTATTGACCATTTACAAAAGCCGGACAGCCGCCAGTTATTGGAAAGTGCTGACTATTTCTACATATCGGTGAGTTTCATAAAATCAAAACCGAACGGAAAAGAAAATAATATGTAATTATTTATCTTCATTATGTAGGGCTTTTTCCTTACCGTAAGTCCACCTAGCATTATAGAAATAGCGCGGTATGCGCACAAACGCAAACGCACATTTATGATGAACTTAAGCGCTCCCTTTGTATCGCAATACTACAAAGAACAACTAATGGCTGCCATGGTCTATGTAGATATACTTTTTGGCAATGAGGAGGAAGTCGAAACGTTCGCTCGCGAACATAGTTGGCATGCTAAAGATCGCAAGGAAATTGGTCAAAAATTATTGAGTCTGCCTAAAGAGAATTCTGAGCGCGAACGTATTGTTATTATCACACAAGGCCACTACCCAGTACTACTCTTCCAGGGTAATAATATTAAAGAGTTTCCCGTTCAACAATTGAGTCGGGAACAACTTGTTGACACAAACGGTGCCGGGGACGCGTTCGTTGGCGGTTTTTTGGCTCAATACATAAAAAAGAAATCCCTAGACGTTTGTGTGCGATGCGGCATTTGGGCTGCTTCACAGATCATACAACGCAGCGGCTGTACTTTTGAAGGCAAACCAAGTTTTCAAGAATGAAATCGCGAACACTATAGCTTTTTAATCTTTTATATTTTGAACACTTTTAAGAATCGCTGCAAGCTCGTCTTAAACTTCGAAAATGATGACATAGTCATTAGGTAACAGTTGTTTGCATTTCGCTTTATAACAGGGTTATCAGCGCCTCTAACTTTTTTTTTTTAACTTCCAAACTTAATTAATTGATATTTTTTCTTAATTTGCTTTAAATAAGTAAGATGGTTGTAATTATTAAGTTTATAGAAGGTATTTATTTTTGTTTTAACAGCACATAAGTAAATAATAAATTTGAGATTTTTCCTTTTTTTCGGTTTTTAAATAAGAATTTTGCACATACTATGTAAATAATTGTGTTATTTCTTAAATATTTTTTAAAGACAAAAAAAAGTAACGATTTAAAATAAACACAATTACTTTTTTTGTTTTTTTTTTTTATTATTTACAATCTTGTTATAATCGTCAGTAGCTGTATGTATAGCAAGGGATAGTCAAGAGAGGTACTGAGGTGCATTACTGTAACGAAATAAAACGTTTTTTTCGCTAATTGTCACAAACTAAATTGTCATTGTTCTAAAGATTGAAAATGTGTCTCAATCAGATACAACATTTTCAACTACAATGGATCCTTCTTGCTGTTGTTGTTGTTGTTGTTGGGTTTTCCGCCCTCTTGAAAAATAGACGAATCTTCCTGATTACACTTATATGTCGTAGTAGTAATGGAAAATTTACAAATTGATTTAATTATTTGGAAACATATATATATATATATATATATACACATATATATATGTATATACATACATATTTTCCCGACAGATAATGTTTTAAGCTGATTGATATCTGTTTAATATTTAGAAATTCTAATCTGAGAGATATCGCCAACCATATTGGTATCAGTACTTTCTGTCTCCGTCGACTCAATAGTTGAATTCGTTTAACTAATTTGTTTTGAAACTATCATAGATCTTTGAACTTTGAGCTAAATTAAATGCAATCTTCTTTCACATATATATAGTTAATGGTTTATTTGAAATATTTTTATAAATATTAGGAGAAAATAACGGATGATAAATTCGACCTAAGCCGATTCTTTTCTTACCCACCACTGACGCTGTAAGACTTTGTGTTTGTATGTATTATAAGCTGCTGTGGATCCCGAATGAAACTCGCTAAGGAAAATTGAATTTATGATTATATTTATGTATTTGGAAGATCGAAGCAGCCCGGATTGTATCGTTTCGTGGAATCATTGAAGCATTTTAATTTACTGAGATGCGATATTCAATGCTTGTGTGAAGGTTCCTTATTCAATTTTGAATCGCTTCCGCGAACCATTGCAGTAATATTTTCCTAGGGATATTTATTGGTTTCATTTGACAACCGTATCTTTTATTGCATGGCATGGCATGGCATGACATGACATGCTTCAATGTTGTCTTAATTAATAAGCTAACGGATGGACATATCTGAAGCGGTCTAGGATTTCAAATTATATTTTTTTGAGACTCAGGTATGGACCGCATTATAAATTTCGTAAAATATTTTTCAGTGGTGGGGTGGTGTAATATCTGCCTATGCTTGAGTGTAATTTAATATATCATATTTGGATTGTGCAGAAGTTGATCGGAAAAGGCTTAAATAGCATTTTTTTTTTCATTTGTTTATTTTTTTGTTCTTTTTTTTTTTTTTTCTTTTTGGAACTACATTCATAATGTTGAGCTTGGGATTATATGTAGTAAGTTCTTAAAGTTTTGATTACATTTTGTTTAGTTATAATAAATTTCATTTGAAAGATTATCCTCTCCTGCTGTTTAAGAATTTTTAAAGTGGAACAGTAGTGGGATTAATGAATATAATAAGCGCGAAGTAAAAATTATTACTATGGAAATACTTCCAGATTAATTAAATGAAAATGGAAAATTTGGAAAACTTGTAAATAGAGAATAAAATTACACAGTTTATGCAAAATAATGATTTACAATGTTTGAAAGATGAAAGAACTCGATGAAACCAATTCGATAAAAAAAAAAATAAAAAATAAAAAAAAATGCTATAAGTTATGTTTATTGTTGTCTGCGCTAAATTAATTTTAAAGAAAAAAGTGAAAAAATTAATTTCCTGTATTGTTGCCAGTAACGTTATTTGATAATTGACCGGGTACGGAAAATTGTGGTCGAAAATTGGCAAAGTTGCCAGCGGGACCGGCCGCAAAGCCCGGTAAAGTTGCACCCTGAAATCCAGTTGGGAACTGGGGCATCAATTGGGCTGTAATTTAAAACAAAATGTTAAGGTAATTGGCCCAGTTAATATCATTTGAAACGTACCCGCATTACTATTATTGCCGGCAGTAGCAGCTAAGCGTGATAATATGGAACGTTCGGACATTTGCAAACGTTGCGCCACCGGAGGACTGCGCGCCAAAGTGGCAGGTAAACGTGATACATCGCTTTTCATATCTGAAAGCAGTTCCTCTAGCTGATTGAGTACTTTATGCAAGACGGCATTGGCGGGCTTATTGCCTGCCAACGACTCCTTGCTCAAATGCTGGTGCGACTCGGCTAAGCATTCTACTTCAGCGAAACGAGCATTTAAAGACATAGCTGGATGCGTAGGATCTTGAGACAAATTAAGGAATGCCGCTCGACGTAATTGTTCTTCAATCACCAACGACTGTTCAAGCAATTTAAAACGTCTAGCTAAAAATTTATTTTTTATTTCCAAAAAATTGCCTTTGCCCACATCCATCTTGAAAGGCTCGTTTATAATCGCAAACCGAATATCGTTCTGTATGTCCTGCCAACGTCCATAACCATGTGTTACTATCCCGGCCAATAACCAATAGTCGTGGCGACGGTGCCAGATTTCATATTCGCGGCCGGGCACGGCTGCTTTTTCTTCATTTAGCCATAGTGTATGCAGTTCGGTGAAACCACCATCGGCAATATTAAACATAAACTTTCGTTTTAGAACTTCTAAGCTTTCTTCAATTTTCGGTTTATTATTATTTTGTTGATTAGAGCCACTAGCAATAGCTTCATAAGTGGTAACTTTGGCGGATGATGTACCAGGTTTTTCAACTTCTCCATCATCCTTAATTATTAATACATCGTCGTCATCGTCATCGATGATTTCAGTTTTAGTGGGTTCTGCTTTCGGTCTAGATTCGTCATTGGATTTAGTGTCTTTATTGATGGACGAATCTTCTTTATCATCTTTTGGCTTATCTTCTTTATCTGGTTCATGTTCATCCTCCTTTTTAATTTCACTCTTGTCCTGCTCAGATTTCTCCTCTTTAATTTCTTTAGCATTTGTAGCTGAATCAGCTGTTTCTTTGTTCTTGTCGGCTAATTCGGAGGTCTCGGTCATATTAGGTTTATCTTCTTTCTTTGTTTCTTCGCCAATAGACTTTCTATCTTCAGCCTCAGATTCTTTTTTAATATTTTCCTTTTCGCCAACGCAACTTGTTTTGTCGTCCGCTTTCTCAGACGCTGGGGCTGGACTCGGGGCGGCACTTGTGGCGGGTGTGGCACTAGTGCTAGTTGTAGCACTCTTATCTTCCGCCTTTATCACGTTTGGGTCTCCATCAGTATCTTCGGTTTTTGGTACTCCTGGTTTTACGGGTTCGCAAGGCTTTAAAATCAACTCTGGCATACTATAATAGCCATTAATATGCTCAAACTCTTGTACTTTTTTGCGAATCAATGACATAACACCGACACGGGTAAGAACGTGCTGTCGAGAAAGTCCTTCTCTAGGCACACCGTCTGCGAAAGTTTCAGCATTGTCAGCTCCTGGTTCGCACAAATGCCGCATGAAGAGAGAAACATAAGCTTTGAAATTCCGTTCGGATTTTCCACGCAGATCTCGCACTAACCACTGCGAATTGAAAGCATCTTGCGGTGGCATACCGTAACGCATAATAGCGTTTAAGAAACTCTTGCGTTGACGAGCATTAAAACCTAACACCTCTATGTTACCGCCAACTCTAGCCAAAAGCGGTGGTAAAGGACGATCATCTCGGCGCTCTATGCGTCGTTTTGCCTTACGTCCTTCCCCACCATTCTGCTCATCAAAGTCGTCATCACCGCCATCTTCATCGGAGCCTGCCGAGTAATCAGAATTATATTCGGAAGCATTATCTTGCCAATTGCTATCATCTCTCGCTGTGTCAGCCGGGACTACACCTCCATCAGTGTAGTTAACTTGCTTGCGCACACGTTTGCCTTTGCCCAAGGTACGAGCCACATCCTCTTGATGCTGTTCGTAATGATGTCGCAACAGCTTCACCCAATAAGCAGGATCTGAATTTTCTGCCTCTTGTTTTATAATTTCTGTTTCTTCTTCCTCATCTTCTTCTTTGGTGGCATACGAAGCCACTTTAAAAGAGGATAAGTATTCATTAGCCCACGACTCTTTCTCTTCAATACCCCTGTTGGAGCGATCCAGAAGTTCAGCTACTGCCTTGTCATCATAATGAATGGCTTCCTCTTTATCATCCTCTTTAAAAAGCTCCTCAGTACCAAAACGCAAAATATCGTCCAATTCTTGTTTAGTAAAATTCGCTCCTTTTCCACCCATGCCAGGGCGTACTACAAGATGCGTTAACATCATTTTGCGTTTAGCCACCTGTGTGACTCGCTCTTCAACCGAATTCCTCGTAACAAAGCGATAAATCATAACCTTGTTTGCTTGACCAATACGATGGGCCCGTGAAAATGCCTGAATATCATTGTGAGGATTCCAATCGGAATCATAAATTATTACAGTGTCAGCAGTTGCCAAATTAATACCCAAACCACCGGCCCGTGTACTCAGTAGAAAGACAAACTGTTGAGCTCCCGGAGCATTAAAGCGATCGATAGCCTCTTGACGCAAACCACCGGTAATACCACCATCGATGCGTTCGTATTTGTAACCTTCACCTTCTAAAAAGTCTTCCAATATATCCAACATTTTTGTCATTTGGGAGAAAATTAACACACGATGACCCTGCTCTTTAAGTTGTTTTAGCATTTTCGCTAACAATACTAATTTCCCCGCCGCCTTAGTTAGTGATGATACTTCATATAAACCACCGGCAGTAGTGGGAGCTTCTTCAGCGGCCGAGGGGAACAAATATGGATGATTACAGCACTTCTTCAAATCCATCATGACATTAATCAGTGAGCACGAGTTTCCTCCGCTTTTAGAATTCAAAGCCTCGTAATTTTTAGTCAGAATGAATTTATAAAATTTCTTCTGCAAAGTAGATAACTCTACGCGAACAATAAATTCCGATTTTGATGGCATATTTTTTAGAACGTCCGTTTTCAACCGTCGTAACATATGAGGACCCAACATCTCATGTAATCGTTTTACTTGTTCTTCTTTAGAAACGTCAGCGAATTCGTTTTGGAAGGCATTCAAATCATTGAATTTCTCCTTGTTTAAAAAGTTCAGCAAGTGAAACAGTTCTTCGAGATTGTTTTGTAACGGAGTACCAGTTAGGAGTAATTTGTAAGCGATATTATAACTATTTAAGATACGGAAGAATTTACTTTGATTTGACTTTAAGCGATGGGCTTCGTCAACAACCAACACAGCCCAATCTATAGAGCCCAAACAGGCTGCGTCCATTGAGATTAGTTCATAGCTGGTAAGGAGAACATTAAATTTGTATTGATTGGTACGCAAACGAGACGCCTTGCCGCCACGGATCGCACCCTCTTCAAACGAAAGCTCATTTTCTCTGATGACAGCACGCGAATCTTTATCGCCAACATAAGTAATGCAATAAAAATCGGGAGCCCAAAGCTCAAATTCACGTTCCCAATTAATTATAGTTGACAATGGTACTGCCACTAGGAAAGGACCTTTGCAATGGCCTTCCTTATATAAAGAATACAGAAAGGTAACTGTTTGTATGGTTTTACCTAAACCCATTTCGTCAGCCAAAATAGTGTCCACCGCGTTGCCCCAAGAGTAACGTAACCAGTTAATACCATCAATTTGATATGGATGCAATTGCATGCCTGTACCCTCCAAGAAAGGTGGCTGACCTTCGTATTTCTTTTTTAAATCCGTAGTAGGCTTCTCGGGCGGAGGAGTATAACGTCTTACTGGACGCTCTTCATCTTCCAGCTCTTTGACTTTGCTTTTACGACCTTTCTTTTTCTTACCTAAACGAGCTTCAGAAGTGCACACAGCTCTCAAATCCAGATAGTAATCCACAGCTTGTTTTAAACCCGGTATATCGTCGGTTTCATCTTCCCAGGTGGATTTGTCGTAAGGTAAGTCGCGCCACTTAACCAAATACATAGTAGTACCATCTCTAGCTGTGCGATGATTAATAACTCTTTGGACTATCAACCATTCCGGCTTGACCCCATTGCGATAAAAACGTTCCTCCAAATCCTTTTTATACTGTTCATCTTCATCGTCACCTTGGATACCGCCTTTTGCCTTATGGCGTTGTATGCGTTGATAACGAGAATCAGCCTCATCCAAAGTTTCTTCAAATTTCGGAGGTTCTTCCATATCATATTTGCGTTGGAAAGAACGAATCATTAACGGGTGATGAACATCCATTTGCACTTCAGAAATCCATTCACAATGCCAATAGGACATGTTGTGCCATTTCACAAAATATTCGCGCATTCTCATCTTTGGTTTTTTTGAAGTTGAGGACTCTGTTGATTCAGCCCAACGCCAAGTGATAATTTTTTCAGCCTTACCCGTTAGTGGAGGACAACTGCAGCGTGGACATTTCCAATCGCCATCGGGTATGGTATCCAAAGGTGGATTCAGACAGAATGTATGGTATGCCGATGGACACGAATCGCAGCAAAGCAATTCACCACCATCTTTACATACTCGGCAAAATTCTTGATGTTCATCGTCATCATCTTCTTCAGCAGCGCCGCCATCAGCTTCGCAATGTGGACAAGACCATTTGCCCTCGGGAGCTTCATCCAACTCTGGCTCCAAACATACCAAATGGTACGCTCTAGGGCAGGTGTCGCACAAAATTATCTCGCCTCCCTGTTGGCATACTTCGCAATAATCCTGATGCTCATGTTCGCCCTCCTCACCATCAGGAAAACGGTTAGTAGTTTTAAGTTTTTTCTTCTTTTTAAATTTATTACCAATTTTGGTCTTGGCCTTTTTCTTTACGACAGGAGCTCCATCCTCACCTACGCTACCAGATGTTCCTGCGACAACTGCACTTCCTTCGCCCGCATTTGCTGAATTACTTGCTGCCACCGTAGAAATACTGGGTATATCTTTTTCATCGGTACTGTCATCTGATTTTTGAAGCATTTTTTCAAATTCTAAATCCGAATCCCTTTCAGAAGCACCGCTGACATCTTGATCGTCATCCGAACTACCTCGCTTACGTTTACCGAATTTTATTTTTAAAGTGGGCACTTTGCCCGAGGAACGACGACCCTTCTTGCCTGGTCCACGGCCACCGCGCTTGCGACGTCCTCTCGACATTTCCTTTTCCTCTTCTTCATCGTCTTCTTCCTCTTCTTCCTCGTACAAATCATCGGGCTGAAACAATCACGAAGACATAAGGAATGAATCGTATCTACTTGTTAATCGTCTATTACCTTTTCATTTCGAGACGAACGTGAGGATCTTGGTTCATCGAGATCCTCGCGTACTTGTTGTTGCTGTTCAGTCAATAAATTGGGATGGGCGTCGGAAAACTCACGCCATTTAGCTGCCACCAGCATCATTACCTTAGGTGCTGGAATTTTCGGATTCTCTTTTTGTAAAATTGGGCGAACGTGTTGAGCAAATGCTTTATATGTAGTTAAATTCTGCAAATCAGTTTCGGTGAAATCAATGTCTACATCTACTACATTTAGGGCGGAACAAACGTCTTCCACTGACGGCATGCCTAAAACATGGAATGTTTGGAGAATTAAAAAAAAAAATAATAATATTAATAATATAACAACATTTGCTAAGCAGAACGTATACCTGATGACGACGATTCTTTTTCTTTGTTTGACTTCTCCACATCTTTCCGTTTACGGCCTCGTTTTGAAGAGGACGAAGTAGTGGTATAGTCAGCATCGTCATCATGTTGAAGGAAATCGCTGTCATCTTCACTTTCGTTTCTCTTACGTTTCTTTTTCTTGCGACCCTTTTCCTCACCCTTTTTTGTCTTCCTTTTTTTGCCTTTCTTCTTTTTACGCGTATCTTCTGGATCATAATCGTCGTCCTCATCGTTCTATAAAATGCATACGTGAAGCGAGCAGTAATATCTTAGCAGTGATCAAAAACTTACATTGGGCTTTAACGGTGCATCAGAATCATTCGATAGTTCAGCTACTTGGGCAGATTCGTCTAATGGTTCTTCCTCTTCTAAACAACAAATAAGAATTTTTATTAATGCAATTTGAAATTTATAATAGAGTTGCGCATGGGAGAGTGCGTGTACGCGTGTGTGAAGAATTCGAAATGCACCCAAATTGTGTATCATTAGCGATGAGTGTATGTTTTTATTTAAAAAAAAAAAAAAAAAAAAAAAAAAAAAAAAAGATTTATAATCTGTAGGATACTTACACGTTTTTGTTGGAATTAACAATATATCACCAATGGGAAGGAAAGGGAAGAGGCACGAAATCTTGACAATAATTTCATTATTTCAATGCAAATTTTAAAAGCGCTTTAAAAAAAAATCTTAACTGTTGCTTGCAACCCCAAATTTAAGAAGTACGTGCGTCATAATCATCAACAAAACGAACGAGCACCCTTGTCTGAATCTATGTATCGAAAATGCTATTTGAACACATACCTCCGGCGTCTTTATTGTTTCGCTTAAACACAATGCCCGTCACTTGGGACATTGAACTGATCTTTACGATAAAAAAAAAATTGAAGAAAAAATAATAACAGAAGATTCTCGTTGACTATACTTTTGTTTTGGATACTCGCAAAGGTTATTGTACGTTCACATCGCACATCCAATCCTACATATATATATATATATATATATATATATATATATATATATATATATCTATAGAAAGCACATTCGCACATACGGAAGATGTTTCCTTCATTCTTACAAACAAATACACACATGTCCATATGAACACAGGTCAATATTATGCACAGCTCCGCTTTAACAAGCCTGCACAATAACAACGCAGAAGACAAAAGAATTTAAAACACACACTACACATATAAGCGTGCCTGCATACACGCACAACAGGTGTGATCTCAAAAGAAAAACGTATACAGATACAATAACAATATAAATGCAAGTTGATCTCAGAATTGAACATCTGGCATTTCTCATCGTCGACATAGGCATTGAAAAATTAAATCTTCGTTCATCACTCCACCCAAGCCATATAATAAAAATCGTGTATCGGATATCTTAACTGAAAATGATAAATAATTATCCAAACCAACCAGATCAGATCGGACCAGACTAAAAAAAAAAAAAAAACACATTGTCGCACCACAAAAATATAGAACAATTTAAATGCTATATAAGAGAGCATTCAAATAGATTTATTCAAGATTCATTGATTTTAGATTCAATGACTACGCGAATTTAATTTGTTAATTCACTTTTCTCATTTCTGATCTATGAGAATTGGTAATTAGGCGGTTTTGCGTCTCTGATAGTTGGCAGCAAGTAAGGACGAACTTATTTCCATTTCTAAAACAAAAATCTTTGCATCCCACCTCCCACCCATAAGTCAGAATAAAAAAAAAAAAATTTTATATTATAATTTTTAAGCCAGTATTTAACAACAAATGTAAGCAACGCAAACTTTTTCACTCTTCACTCTTTTAATTGTTGCGATCATGGACATGCGCTAGTACCCAATGAATATGGACAGACAATACCAAATGTTCAATAAATGTATCTAAAAAAGAACGAATGTAAACGCTTGACTTAAGGACCACAAATTATCAGTCTTTAACGCCTGAAAAATGAATATTTTTATTTCGAAGTTTTAGTAAAATGATTTCCAAGGTTTTCTTTCTTCTCTTTATGTTACGACAATTTTTGAAACTAGAATTTTTTTAAAAAATTTATCAATTATTCTCAGCATTCGGTGCATCATTCATTCAGCGTTAGTGATAATTTTTGATTTCCACGTAATCGATTCCTCCCTTAGCAATTTTTTCATTGTTAATTAATTCATTCATAATTCGTAAGTATTAGGTGACTATTGATTATTGATTATTTACAATATAAGGTATTTTTTAAGCACATAAGGGAACCCACCCCGCTTCAAAGTTCCCCATATATCCGTTAGAGAAATTAAAATTTTCTTAGAGTAGGTAGACTTTGATAAAAGTAGAAAAATTCACCTTAACTATACTTTTGTTTTTGTTTTTTCTTTATTAAGTTATTTTTCTACATACACATATCCGCCTTGACCTTTTAGAAAATGTCAAGAAATTTTACAAAATTTCAAAAATCGTTTAAAATCACTGATGAAAATATAGACAGACCTATGGACGGACAATAGAATATCTCTGAACTGATGCGGGCGGGATCTTGATTTATGAATCATAAATATTTTTGCTTTATAAAGAGTTTTGATGCAAAGATAGACAGACCTATGGACGGGCAATAGAAATATCTTTGAATTGATGCGGGCGGGATCTTGATTTATGAATCATAAATATTTTTACTTTATATAGAGTATCGAACGCATGCTCTTCTTTGATATTGTAAACAGAAAAGTAAAATGTTTCATTCCATGGATGTATGTGTGGGGCGTAAAAATTGGATTCAAAATTTTTATAAATTAAAAAATGAAAATGTTAATTTTTTTTTTTTTTTTTTTTTTAAATAATTCTCTAAAACTTTATTTAAAGAATTTTATTTTAACTTACAAAATAAATCAAACTCGTGTTTATAGATGTATTTTATATATATATATATACATTACGTGTGCATGTATGAGGTTATGTTAAACAACTATATAAATCCATCATTCCCTTTTATACGAACTTTAATAACTTTTCAGCAAAAATTTGCTTTTAAAGATACGCAATGGGTTGCTTATATTTATGGTCGGTTATATAATTACAATAATATTTTACGTGTACGTAAATATCTGTTAATATAAACTTGTTACATTTCAAAATCTTGATCATTTATTTTTAACAACAAAACAAATTTCAATTAAATAATGCATATGTATACCTCTTTTTATACATTTATTTATTTATTTATTTATTTATTTATTTATTTATTTATTTGTATTATTTATTTCATCTTTATTCATTGTTCATAGTTCCGTCTGTACCACCTAGAAAAGCCGATCGTAATCTTCTCAGTATATCTCACTGTATACCTACTACCTATATATATATATATATATATATATATAAACAAATTCAAATGAAAAATGCAACTTTTGCAAGCAATTATTTGGAAAAACGGCACGGCACTTAAGCAATTTTTTGTTCTTCCCATAATTCCAATGCATCTCACAAGCACATTTTTTATTCATATCGTAAACAGATTTAACGTTAACCGTTCTACTATAACTTTGATGCATTTAACTGAATACCCTGCTTTCATTCACATTCGTCACACACACCCCCCCCCCCCCCCCCCCATCACTAATAAAAAAAAAATTTTTTAATGTATTTATCACAATTATAATGTACATGGCTCCAATTAGAGGAGCGATGGATGAAGCCGAAAATGATAATAAGCAGGCGCATAAATATATGTTGGGGGGGAGGGGGGGTGTTAAATTCGTTTCACGGTCCCCACACAATATCTAAGAAACTCAAATTATTTCAGAAAAAACTTGATCATACCTTACTCACAATCTCTAATAAATAACGAAACTGGATCGTTTAAAAATTCTATGCAAAAACAAAATCCGCTGATCGGCCGGGTAGATTTTAAAATTGAAAAAGGACCAATTCATCACACTAATGAATTCATTCATTCACATTCATCTATACATCCACTGCATTCAGTGCACACTGTACGTACATCCTTTTTTTTTTTTTTTTTGTATCTACTAACATATCAGTCTCTGTGGAACGATTAAAAGATTAACCGATAATTACTCGGAATTTGGCTAAGAAAAGCGTAGGATTTTTTTTCAACAGCATTAACTTACGAACGGCCCTTATTTGAGTTGGATGTGTTTATTTTTGATTATGAAGCCTAGGAAAACGTAATTATTGAAAACACGGTTTACATGTACGTAAACAAGTTTTCTATATTCGCGCTGCAGCGAATGAATAATTCGACTCATCAACGAAGTGCATGGGAAACGCAGGTTGGGGGGTATCATGTTTTTCTCATTGGCTTTACGGCGGACACAACATCAGTTCATTTTCGTTGCTAACATTACGAGAACGCTTTAAAATTTATTGATCAGTTGGTCTTAATCCACTTGCAGTCACGTCACATTAATGTCCGAATATTAAATAAACAAATTTCCAAATTTTACATCCATCGTAACATTATCTTGATTAGGAATCGGCCGAGTTGTTTTCAATTGATGCCCGATGCCAGGTGTAAAAACTGCATATCCTTGTCTTCATTCATTTTGTCAAAACCCTTGGGGGCAAAGCCTAGAAGGAGAAAGCTTCAGCAGATACCACCACAAAAGTAAATACATTCTTGATCGGCATGAAATTCTGAGTTGATTTAACCATGTCCGTCTCCACATATATAATCGCTTTTGTAAACATTCTCCTGACCTCCAAAAATTGAAGTTAATGACTTGAGATTTGGCAGAAACTTTGGCTTGGTCAAACGACACGCCTACAACACACGCACACATATACAGCAAATAAGGTGAACACCTTTTATTTCTGCGTTTTTTTGCATGTTACTCATAACGTACGTCATATACTAAAAATAGATAAGATCAGTCACGCCCATCCAAAATTATAGAGCATGAAAATGTAGTTTCTTCTCCTCTTTTGGGATACCGATGACGATCATAAAAGATTCGGTCACGACCGAATATAATTTCTTTCTGTCTTCTTGTTACTTTTTCTAATCTTTCACTCAATATTAAGGTGTTTTGAATCAGTTTTACGACTACATTTTACACTTGTTTTGACCAAAATGCACGTTCTTGCAGTTGGTTTCAAGATATATCCCAAGACCAAGGTTCGTTCCATCAATGTTTCTTTCTTTATTAAAACGACAAATTCAATTCGATGTTTTCATGATGCATGTTGCACTTATGTCATTTGGATTAAAGAGCTTCGTCTGACTGTTCTTCCATATATATGTAAATGTTATTGACACAATAATCTTATTGTCGCAAATCTTATTAATTTTCAAAATTCAATGCCATGATTATTATTCCGAATCGTATTAAGGTTTCTTATTTCTCGGGTCCAATATT